CTCACATTACTACGTGCACCTTGCGTGCAGATCCAGGTGTTCCAGAGGCTGAGTGAGAGCTTTCCAGTCGATCAGCATTATCCGGGAGTATCGAGGTAGCTGCATGGCGTCGCAACCCTGATTTCTCCCTTCGTTTCTATTGTATTCCGCATTCCTAGACTGTTTGTGTAGTAGGCTGTTGAACTTGTATTAGAGGCTCGAGACTTGTGACACTGGATCGGTCTGGGCTATGTAGTAGTATTATATTTTGACTTCCGCATATTTAACTTGCTGTTTCAGAACCTTATTATGTTAATTTGACAATTAAACTGGGTTAGCTGATATTGGACTTTATAAGAAAATGAGTTGTGGTTAATAGTTGGTCAGGCTTGCCTAGCAATGTGTTGGGTGCCATCACGACCGGGGTTGGGGTCGTGACAAATATTCTTTAAAAGTATTACACAAACTTCCGTACAAATTATAGAAACTGCAACCAGGATAAGGACACGACTGAACGCAAGCCAGAAAAACCTGCAAGAAAATCAAGAAGAATGTTGTAAAGAGTATAAAGATAAAAATACATGCTGTAAGATTAAAGAAGAATCTAAAACCTTAATACTAGAAAAAAATGAAGATAGAGATATATTAGAAAAAGACTATACTTTAATACATATCGAAACAGAATTATACAATCTTAAAACAGGATTACAAAAAATAGTAACAATAAATAACGAAAAGGATCTAGATAATATAATAAAAATATTAGATAAAATTGAAATAATAGGAGAAAAATCTTTAAAACATTGGAAAAATAATAAAGTTATGTGTAAATTAGATATAACTAATCCAGAATATATAATTAAAACAGCTTCAATAGAAGCAACAAATCAAGATCTAGAAGACTTCAAAATTCAAATGAAAGAACTTATGAATTTAGGAGTAATAAGAAGATTCACTTCTAAACATAGGTCAGCAGCCTTTATGGTTATAAATCATAGTGAGATAGTAAGAGGAAAGGCATGAATGGTAATAAACTACAAAAGACTTAATGATAACACTAGAACAGATGGATATAAGTTACCTGATAAAACAGAACTAATAAATAGAATACAAGAAAAAATGATATTCAACTAGTTTGACTGTAAATCAGGATATTGACAAGTAAAAATGCATGAAGAAAGCATGAGTGAACTGCATTTACTTGTCGAGAAGGACATTTTTAATGGTTAGTAATGTCGTTCGGACTAAAGACAACTCCACCAATTTTTCAACGAAAAATGGATAGTATATTTGGAGAATATAAGAGATTTGTTTTAGTATATGTAGATGATATATTAGTATTTAGTAAAGATATTAAAGAACATTTAGGACATCTACAGATAGTATTCAGATTATTTGTAGACAATGGAATAATAATTAGTAAAAAGAAAATGGAACTATGTAAAAATTATATAATTTTTTTAGGAGTAATTTTAGGGGATGAGAAAATTAAATTACAACCCCATATAGCCAAAAAGGCTCTAGAAATGCCAGATAAATTAGATAATAGTAAAGAGCTACAAAAGTTTTTGGGAATAGAAAATTATGCGAGAAATTTTATAAAAGACTTAGGAAAAATAGCAGGACCATTATATGCTAAGACATGCTCTACAAGACAAAAACATTTTAACACAGAAGACATTAAATTAGTACAAAAAGTTAAAGAAAAAATAAAAAATATTCCTGATTTAAACGTGCCACTAAAAATAAACTACTTGATAATAGAAACAGACGGTAGTTTTGAAGGATGGGGAGCAATTATAAAAGCGAAACCAAATAAATATAGTGACAAGAACACATAAAAAATATATGCTTATCAAAGTGGTAAATATAAAGAAAAAGGAAATATGAGTAGTATAGATGCAAAGATATTAGCTGTAATTTACGGATTAAATAGTTTTAAATTATATATATTAAATAACCAAAAAGTAACAGTTAGAACTGATTGCGAAGCCATATTTAAGTTTCACCAAAAGATAAATATAAAGAATAATAGTAGAAGAAGATGGTTAAATTTCATTGATACTATATCAATATATAATTTAGTTTTTGAACATATTAAAGGAAAAGATAATAATTTAGCAGATCAGTTAAGTAGGCTTAAAATTACAGTCAATTAATAAAAAAGTATTTTACATGTACAACATGAGACCAACAGTTTCCAAGACTGAAGACAAAGGGAAGGGCATTCAAGCCTCACCCTCAGACAGATACTTACAGACAATATTAGGTAATCTTCATTTTAAGCCACACCCTTTTGCAGAACAGACTAATATGGAAAGAATAAGTTTTGAAAAACATAATTTAATATTTTTTCCACCATCAAACATGTCGTTTAGAGTTCTACCAAAATATGTCATAGACAGACCTCAAAGGTGTCTAATTGATAACTTATGGATATCATATAATAAGAAAGACACTAAATATTTTATAGCGGCTCTTAATGCCTTAGGATAATATTTTACAGATAAAAACCAAGACAAAAGATTTAAGTACAATGTAGTTATACATGGTAAGACAAATGGTATTTTTCAGATATGGTTAGAAGTACTAGACTCTATTAAAGATATAGAAAAAATGCTTTTCAAAAGTTTTAATGATTTTACTGAAGCATTAGATTATGCAAGAGGAATACTAGGACCAAACTACTATATCTCTCCAGCATTTAGACAAAACCCAGAAAAAACCTCCCAATACAACATCCGAAAAGACAACGACAAGATAATATTCTCTGATCATTGCTCATCAATGACAGAAGCCTTTAAACGAATAAACCAGAAAAATAAAATCCTGGCACAAGAAAAGACAAAATTTATGGAGCAGGTGAAGGTATTAGAACACAGGGTACAAGCGTTGAGATTTGAATTGACACAATCCCAGACTCAAGTTATTCCTCAACAAGACACAGAGATGAACAGTCCAAAACAGAGTTCTCCATCTCAAGCAAAAATGGATGAGAAAGGTGTGCATTCCCCAATGAATGCAACAAGATCTACTGTATCAGATAATGATACAGCTAGTCCGGTTCAAACGATGACCGATAAAGACACATCAAATCCGTTTATGACTGTCACTTTGCCAAAAAGTGAAGACGAAGGTCTATCGAGACGAAGACTACCCAGAACATTAACAAGGGAGAAACATTAAAAAAGAAAGGTATAATTTCAAAAAAGAAAAAAAATGAGAAAATAGAAAATATAATCAAACAGACATTAGAAAATTTCTTTCAAGAAAAAGAAGAACAAGACAAACATATGGTTAAGAATCCAAGTCCTAATCCAAGTCCAAGTCCAAGTTAGGAGAAGATGATAACTACGAAGACAACCTAAATTATCAAGATGCTCAAGACCCATATGAAGATGACTCAGGAATGAGTTTTGATTCAATAGCTATACATAATTTAGACACATAAAAGCAAGGTCTCAGTTAAACAACAGTTAAAGGTAAAAGACAGCGTAATAATGCTGGTGTAAAAGACAGAGCAATAATGTTGGCGTGCCAATGTGAAAAACAAGAAAGTAAAGAAGATGTGACAGGAAGAAATGCTAGCTGTGCTAAAAGAAAGATGTGACAAGTGACATAAAGAAGAAAAGATGTGACAAGAGGTAATGCTAGCTGTGCTAAAAGACAAGCTAAATTTTTGAGTGGAAGAAAAAATTACAAGTACTAAGGGAATCTCCGACCAAGCCATGTGAAGTTGGGGTCCAATGAAGTACCCTACAAGGCTGGACAAGATAAATTTCTGAAGAGTTTGGAATCTATTCTTCAAATCCGTTCCAAAACATAGCTATAAAAAGGAAAAGAAAGAAGAAGAAAAAGAAGACTAGAAGTAGAAGAAAAACACTCTGAAGATAACCCATCCCAACATCCTTTTTATCACTAACCATTCTCCAAAACAAATACTTTGTAAAATATTTCCTTATGAGTACTTTAGTAGTTCCTCCTCTAAGCTTGTAAAATAAATAAACCCTTATGCTTATTTGTGATCGTTTTTAATTCCCAAAACTCAGTAGACTTTTTCAGGTTTCCCGAAAGGGAAATCTCTCTCCTATAAGCATGTAAGTTACTCATCTTTATCTAAATTATGTTTCTACTAGATATTACCCCTGTTTCTTTTACAGTTTTATGTTATTTCGTATAGTTTTATGTTCATATGTTCGACTATTAGTTTGATAACAACCAGATATCACTCTTAGTATATGGTTAGCTTTCTAATTTCTTAACAATTCTGATGGATTAACTTGTAAATTCCTAGGAAAAACCGGTTAAGTAAAACCCTAAAATAATCAAGAAAAGTATAAGTGTTTAACCCGAAAATAATCAATAAGGGTATAAATAATCAAGAAGGGAATAACTAGCAGAAAGAAAAAAAGAGGATTTAGCTCATCCAAATACTCTGTCTCATTCTACACGACACTACTATTATATATATATATATATATATATATTTATATACTATAGACTTTTTCATATAATTTCAAATGCTTTTAATTTTTTTTTAATCAATTTTTGGATACTTTTATTTATACTTTTTATTGTTTTACTTTTAGTGCTTTTCCTACAGTCATTACAAGAAAATAGACGTACGACGAAATTTGTTAAATGTCATTTTGAGTCACATAAATGTCACAAAATTATTTACCGACATTTATTTGACATTTATAGCAAACGTCGTAAATTTCGATGTCGGAAATTTTCCGACATTTACATTAATGTTGACAAATAAATAGTGACATTTACATACTGACTTTTTATCAAATGTCACCAGCTTGAGTACAAAATCAATATAGTTGCAACATATAAAGAAATGTCGGCAATCTTACTCATCCTTTCTATATATAAATGCAAAATGTCGATAAATCTTCTTTTGTCAATAGCTTTTTTTTCTTTTTATACTTGAAGGAAGTTAATAATTCTTATCTACTAATAACACAATTATTCATATAATTTTTATACTAAAATGTCGTTACTCAACAAAAGAGTTTTGAATTAAAACAAAAGAGATACGTACACAATATTTTTGAAAATCTTACAATACCACTCAGTAGTGGTTCTCAAAAATATAAAGTTTTTGTCCTGTACATATTCAGAACAAGCTATGCTAACTATAAATAGACTCCAATGCTGAGTACAAAAATATTAATTCACAACAATTCTTTGCACAAGAGTTTCTCTTTTTGACTCCAATTTTTGCATATCAACCTGAAATAAAACCAAACAATAAAAGCAACAATTAGAAGTTAAAAATATAAGGTAACAAAAACCAGTTAGCAAGCCACTTCTATAGAGTTATACGGCATATGATATCACATGAAAAGTTAGAATCCGTGCAGCTTAAAAACATTCCATCATACAAACAAAAATGAAGAATAGACTTACTTATTACAAAGAAAAATAAAACAATAAGAAACTTCAAATCTTCGAATACGAGCCACAATGTAAATATGTACCATAAAGTAAGAAAATGCAAAAGGTGCTTGAACACATCTATATCTGTTTAGTTAACATACAGAATGAGAAGTTCTCTCTGTCCTTTTCCTCTTCCTAATCTCTTCTAACTAAGCATGACATTTCGGTTTTAGGATTAAATGATGTTTGCATAATCATTTGGATAGACTAATATCCTTTTCGCAAGTAAACCACAAGAATTTTCTTTATCTCAATGATATTGTGAAGAGTATAACCTTTGACGAGCTAGCAGACCTTGAGTATGCTCCTAACACAATTTATTTTCAACACCTGCATGGTAATCTTGTTAGTATTACATTTTAGGTCTAACAACCAAGCAAGCGTCTAGAGGTATTGATAGGTAATACAAACTAGATATTTACTTATTTCAATTGAAGGAGATGATCCTCTTGAGTGACCTACAGATGAGAACCACAATCAACTAGATTCAGAGGCCATATTTGGTTAATGACTATGCTATAGAGGTCATTTTTCTCCTATAAATACATAGTAATATCCATATTCTTACTCATGAAAAGCAGAATGTCATCTCCTGTGAGGAATCTAACATTATAAGTCGATGAGGTTAGTTATTTGGTGCTGCAATTTCAAGTTTTTCTTCCTCTGGTGAACTGATCTTGAGTATTTATGTGTCAAGAAAATATAATCTTCCTTGTTATTCTGCTAAAGTTTTGGCATTATAGGTATAAATAAGTTATTCTATCATACTCAATTAAATGCAAAAGAGTGATATTTCCTGTAAGGCGTAGTTCAGTTTCTGACTTATCCAAGTAAGATTTCTGTAATTTGGACCTGCAGGTACCTTTCTACACTCATCCTACCACTATTAGCACCTATAAACCTAATCAACTAATTAAATAATTTACATGGACTAAGAAAGAGCGTAACAAGGATGAACTATAACAACATGACAGTAAAACAATCATATTAAAGATGTAAGAATAGACAAAATCCAATAAAAGAAAGAATCAACCACTGAAATAAAATAAAAAGTGCGAATACACAATGACATTAAAAGGAAAAAGGTGTAGATACTAAAGCTTTATCCCCAGAATGATTCAATTTCATCACTCCACAATAGTCATTATCTTGAACATAAACAGCGAACTGTTAAATGCATAAATAACCCTATCTACCACTTTTCAAAAACAACAAACTTCAGTACATCATAATAAATGAAAGGGAAACCATTTTAAAGGCAGGAAATACAATCCAGTGAACATAATAGAATGAAAATCACAAAAAAAAATACTTAACGCACCCTAATAACCTCGATCAAAAATCTGAGAAGTATCAGTAGTATCTGTCATGTTTAGTGTTTTAGAACAATCTAAGACCAACCTGGTTGCTTCCCCTTTCAATTTTCGGTGTCACACTGAGATTTGCTTATCGCTAATCGAGTGCGACTTTGAACTTCGAGAATGTAATTTGCAATCCGATCAATTTTGTGAATATGAGATGACACTATCAATTATTTGTGTATGAGGAAAGGGGAAGATTGGAGGCACGGTTTTAAGAGGAAAGATTGGGGGTAGGGTTTTTAATAAAAATAGTTGACCATGCCTATATATTTTTAGCTTAATAAGTATAAATGTAAGTTTCCTTCATTAGATATAAATGTCAGTAAATATTAACTCATATAGCTACATTTCAATTAAAAGTCGCAATGACTATGTCATTTTTAATCAAATGTCATTGAATTTACCAAATTGTTTATGAAGTATCACAAAATGATTCTTTTTCCGACATTTTTTTTCACATGTCACTGATTAAATGTGGCCATAGATCTCTTTTCTTGTCGTGAGTACATAAATTAAGTACTTAATTCATCGCAAAAGACGGGACAATTAATAGGGTTTCTGACTTTTTAGAAGCAAGAGATGATTTACAAAAACACAAAATCTCTAGCATACTTAATGAAAGAAATAGGGGCGGAGGAAGAAGCAGATTATATCTATAGCTCCAGTGGGAAGCATTAGTTTCCCCACCTCCTCATTTATTTAGTTTTCACCAAGGTTTGAAGACGATATTTGTCAAGAAGCAGATACTATCCTGCTAGAGATTGAAGACTACCCTACTCCCGGAGATTTAGCTAAGTAGATAGATGGGTAGAATTGACACAAAAATTCCTCGGGACGTCATGAAATAAACTTTATCAACTTACGTATTTTCTGAGACCCATGAACAAAAGATATAAATTAATGAATCATTTAAAAATATAATCAATATCACCAAAACGACTAATTATATTTGGCACTCAACCAACTACGGCCTTTTTAACGCTCTGAAATAAATTTGTTCTGAATTCCTTTATGCATTTATTTATTACTCCTCTAATACTAATAGGATGAAACTAATTAGAATAGAATAATTGCAGGTCAAAAAAGGTAATGCAATAGGGAAAGTGATTCGCTCTAAAGATACCAAATTTTTAGAGGGAGACATAGTAACTAATTATATGTTTCCTGTCGTTGAATTTTGTATTATGTCACACGGGGAATCAAGAACATAGAGACCCCTAGTATTTTTATGAATAGAGTCGTTTATGAAAACTGTGCGCTTGCTAGTTTCTTTTTATATCATTTGGATCATACCAAAAAGAAAGAAGAAATAACCTTAGCATACCTGAACCGATTCTCTTGGCAATCCCTCCAAGCACTACCACAAGCACTACCACAAGCATAATGGTTAGGCATAAATCCCGACGAAACCATTTCCCGAAAAACATTACATGCCTTATCAGGCATCCCATTTTGGAAATAACCCGTAATCAAGAGCATTTGATTGAACACATCACGAGCAGAGACCAAATCACCACCTTTCACATATAAATTAACAAGGGTGTTACACCAAAAATAAATCTTTATCAACCCTTTTTTTTGTTTAAAATATCCAAATGAAGTCTATGCGCAAGAACAAGAGAACAAGTATTTTTGCACGAGAAATTTGCACTTGTCCGAAACTGCAAGAACAAAATAGGTTGGCTTTTGGTATGGACGAAAAGCTTTGTCTTTTATCGTAGTGATGAGTGAATAAGCAAAGTCATTTGAAAAAAGACTAAAGAACTAAAGGTGCAAAACTGTTGAAAGTATAGGTGGGGTGATTTTGAAGGAAGTAGTCTTTGTCATAGTGAAAAATGTTCACCGCTAATAGAGGTTAAAAAGTGTTTTGGTGCCTAATTTTCATACTCCCACGTGGAGGATATCTCCTAGTACTTATCCAAAATTTATAAATAATTATCAATTACTCGCTTAATTAAAAATTATCTCAACTTACTTAAAATAATACTCAGTTTTAACATATTTTATATAACTTACTATGATGGTCATGTGGTACCGTATAAAATAAATACATACAGTATTATTTTAGTAAAATATTCATGTAAAAATACATACATTTTCTCAACTTATAATTTTCCTAATCTCATATAAAGAGTAAAAAATTTCATATACTTAATTCTTAAAATAGTAAAAAGATAACCTTCTTTTCTAGTGAGAAAATAATTTATATCTCTACAATAAAGAAAATCTCATAAACTTTTCTCATGTTATGTGTATAATTTAAAATATATTCGAAAGTAGTAATATTAATAACTATATATAATCATATTTTTCAAACCATTTTTTTACAAGAAAAGATCCACTCAAAATATCATCTCAAATATATATATAACGGTATCAAAGCTGTTAAACTTACGGGGTGTAACAAAATATCTAGTAAAATATTTTTCAAGACCTGGTGTCATAAGTGCATGAGCAACTAGTAGAATATACAAAACTATAACTACTGCCCGAAATAAAGTAGACAAAAACTAAATGCAAAAGAGAGACTCTGGGTGCTGCAGATTGGCTCAGGAAGCAGCTCACCACTAGGCCTCGGGGTATCGGTAGTATGCGCCGGTATGACTGCCAAATGCACCTGCCTCAGATCCCTGCATGATTAGTGCAGAAGTGTAGCGTGAGTACATAAACAACATGTACCCAATAAATATCGAGTCTAACCTTGAAGAAGTAGTGATGAGGGGTCGACATCGACACTTACTATGANAGGGGTCAACATCGACACTTACTATGAGCCAATAAATAAAATACAAATTTTTTAAATAAACATGGATTATGTAAACAATAGTAATAACTCAATAACAAGCAGTGAATAAATAATTCTTCAACTAATAGTAAATTCCAAGTCTATTTTTTAATTAAATAGTTATAACCTTTCCAGCCATAACATAATATCAAGTATACTTAGGCTCCGAGTATTGTCACGCACGATTTATGCCGAGATCGTACGGCCCGATCCCAATAATATACTGTGTGCATTGTCGAGGGCCGAACGACACGAACCGTAGATGCATCTATTAACCTGTCGAGGCGAACAACCTGCTCCCATGAGAATAGAGAAGTTTACCTCGCTCGCGGAAGTACTTGCGACGC